TTCACATAGAGACATGTGTATACAGACATACATATATATACAAAATGTGTATATGCATTTTTATTCAACAGTAAGCAATGGTTTTCAGCGCTTGTCTTTACAAGGTGTTCTCCCTTCATGGTATCGGGCAACTTTCCAGTCTGTCTTTCTAGAGCTTTCCAGCAAAACCTTTGCACAGACAGTGGAGAGTTTCCAGCAGGCGCAGCTGAGAGCCCCGCACTAAACACCAGGCCTTGTCACCCGCTGGGAGGGAAACAGCGCGGCACGGTGGCTGCTCAAGGGACCACTGAAAAGAGGCGGCCATCGCACCGTAGCTGGAAGCAAACGGGGAGGATGCCTGGGTCTGGCCCGCGGACACCCGCTGAGATCTTAGCAGCCACGTGCTGCGAGAGCCGCTGGAAGGAAGGGGCTGCGAACAGGTCGCATCCACCCAGCACGGCGTTATCCCGCCTGCGGACAGAGTTCACATCGTAGGGATGGGTGTGGTCGTGGGAGCAGAGGCACAAATTACCTTTGGAGATCGTGGACATAATGTACCATCCCGGTATCTGTGTCTGTACGGACAAAAATCATCCATAGAGAAAATGCTGGAAAATCCAGCATGCTCAGCACTTTGTGCCCCTCGTCCAGGCCCAGGAGACCAAGAGGTCCTCGGCCTCTGCTGTCCAATCACAGACCAGATTCCCTGGCTGTCCAATCACAGCCGTGCTTGCCCTCAGCGGTCCAATCACAGCCGTGCTTGCCCTCAGGGGTCCAATCACCGCCGTGCTTGCCCTCAGGGGTCCAATCACAGCCCGGCTTCCTGGGCTCTCTCTGCACTCATCTGGGTCTTTTCCACCCAAGGTGCCACCTGCTTCGGGCTGCGGGGCTCGCGGGGCTGCAGACCCGGTGATGCCTGGGTCCAGCCGAGCTGCTCTCCCCGCAGGCGGGCGCTGCTCTGCCACCCGTGTGGAGATGGGGTGTGGATAGCGTGTGCACCATCCCACACTCCGCGTCATCCCACCTGCTCTGACTTGGAATCACACGTCTCTGCGTGGGAATTTGTTTGTGTTCTCTATTTTGTTTAGTTGTTCTCTGTGTGTTTCCTCCACTAGAACTAGGTTTCTATGAGAATGGGGACTCCCGGCCATTTTTATCCGCGTGGTACCCCAGTTTCTTAGGAAGGATGCCTGGCTCAGGGTAGCTCAACAAATAGTGTGGATGTGGGTGCTGTATCCCAAGCTGCAAGGGCTCATGGGAAAGGAAGAGGACCTATGTGCTTGGAAAACAAGCATGCGCATGTGCATGTGTGTGTATGCATGTGTGCATGTGTGTGTATGTATGTGTGTGTATGCACGTGTGCATGTGTGTGTATGCATGTGTGTGTGCACGCAGCATGCACACGAGTGTGTTCTGAACCAAGGCCTCTATGATCCCCCTGACTGTGACTTTGGGCCAGGCCAGATTCTCTGCTCCCAGACTCACCTAGCGTTGCTGCCCTGACAGGGAGAGCGGGAGGCGGTGATCAGTCACAGAGCTGCCGCTCTCCTTCACTCTGGTGCAAAATGAGGGTGCCTTAGCCCAATCAGATGCTGTTGGTCAGGGGCCCTGCAGACCCTCGATGGTCTTGGCTGGGTAGTCAGGCCACTCCAATGCTCCAGGTGGAAACGTGGGCTGAGAGAAAGACCCAGAATCCCAGGACATCACCCACAGCTTCAACCACGCTGTGGAGGCTGGGAGAATTCCCAATGGTGTGAGGATGGGAGTATCTCCAGCCAGGCTCGCCACGCAGTGGGTCTCTGCCCTCTCTGATAAGTAATGGAAATAGCTACGGGTCTGGGCTGAGGGCCTGACACAGCCACCTTGCCTCAAAGCTTTTTCTCTGACTCGGTCTCTGGGTTCGCCTTGGCCGAGGAAGAAGCCAGAGTCCAGATTGCCCCAGCAGCTCAGGAGGAGGCCTCTCTAGCCAGGGGAGGGTGGAGTTGTCAGCCCGTACCGAGGTTTTAGATGCTTTGGAACACTGGCCAAGAGACACTGTCTCAAGCCGTGGTTGTGCTACTACAAATTGTTCTTCCTTTAAACACACACACAGACACACACACACACACACACACACACTGCATGAGTTCATTTACTTCCCAAATGTGGAATTCCCTAAAGTAGCCAATCATCTGTTCTACCCCCTTTAGATACATAGATACATTCTTCATCTTCATGCTGATAAGGAAACATGTTACATTCAAATTGATGTGGTGTTGCTTTTATTAAGAGATTTCAGATGTAAATGTCAAGAAAATTGATATTAATTTATTACATGAGTACGTTCCTCAAAAAAGCAAACCATTGATTAGACTTCCCTCCATAGATTAATGTTTAGCTTCTTGGCAGGAGGTTTGCTGATTTAAACCGTGATTCTCCAGCAGGAAGAACCCGTGGAGCCTGCGTGAACTCAGCGGTGGCAGAACAGTGCCATCTAGTGGCTGCCAGAGTCACGGTTCTTCGGAGCAGGCGCGCTGAGCTGTACCACCCAGGGTAGCTGTCATTTTAACTTGCAATGAATGACCCCCAGATTCCAGCACAACTACAGAATCACGTCTTTCCTCAAGCTGATGGAGCCCAGCTGCTAATTCTAAGGCGTGGAATGGTTATAGACCTTTCGAGTCCGTTTCACGCACATGTCTCCAGCCTTCGGGAGTCAGTCCTGGCCCAGGTCACGGCTCCAGTACACACAAGGCTCAGGACGCCCAAACCAGCTGTGACAGCAGAGCCAGCTCTGGGTTTCTAGAGATTGCATTCTCTTCCCTCAGGCAGCCCCATTCTGTGGGAACGTGTGGGCTGCGGAAAGGCAGCCTCAGGGGTCGGGTAAGATAAGACTGTCCCTTTGCTTATGATGAGACTGCTGGGCGACCACGTCTAAGACCTGCCCTGGTCACAGGAACACTGGTGGGGCCTGGGTGATCATGTCCTGTGAGGAGCACTTGATTCTGCTGCAGAGAAAAGGCAGAGAGTGAAATATACTGTTCTCTCTCTTTTTTTTTTAAATCCCTTTTAACATAGATAAGGGGAAACAGCCGGGAGGAAAAGAAAGAAAACTGAAGCCATGGTTTCAGAAAGTCAAGCCCAGAAGGAGCAGGGCTGCTAGAGGGACAGGGAGGGAGTGGCTGGGAAGGGTGGAAACAGACTGGGTTTATTTGTGCACAAAGGGAAGCTCCTCAGGAGACACAGGCTGTGGAGGGGGATGCAGAGCAGTTTCTACAAACAGTCCCCAGAGCCAGAGCGTGAGTCCTAGAGGAAGGGGCTGGTGAGTGTAAGGAACCAAGGGAGAAAGACCAGCAGACAGTGCAATGAAACATCACGAACTTCTTCTAATATCAAAATAGAGGTCGTTTGTGGGAACTACAGACAGGCCGGAATTGAAGTAAATGAAAGTGTTGCCAAAACGTAAAAGTGAGGTCAAAGTCGATTCATTGATGAAAGTCCAGGTAATCCTTATTTATTTATTTATTTTTGAGACGGAGTTTCGCTCTTGTTACCCAGGCTGGAGTGCAATGGTGCGATCTCGGCTCACGGCAACCTCCCCCTCCTGGGTTCAGGCAATTCTCCTGCCTCAGCCTCCTGAGTAGCTGGGATTACAGGCATGTGCCACCATGCCCAGCTAATTTTTTTTGTATTTTTAGTAGAGACAGGGTTTCACCATGTTGACCAGGATGGTCTCGATCTCTTGACTTCGTGATCCACCCGCCTCGGCCTCCCAAAGTGCTGGGATTATAGGCGTGAGCCACCGCGCCCAGCCAATCCTAACTTCTTTACATATTATTCCAACTTGTATTTTCTCTGAAAGTCAAAATATCATCTTAGTCAATTAACAATCATTGGCGATAACATTTATTGGTGAAGTTGAACTACGCATCTTGAAGGTGACATTTATACTGTATATCAGGTGCTGCTCTACAGGCTTTCAAAATTATCCGAGTCTTGAACTTCTGCAAGCCTGATTTTTAAAGAGAAAAAAGGTTCGATGAGTCAGTGACACAACTCACATCACCTAGCTAAGAAATTACAGGATTAGGACGTGAACCCTTGGAGCTCATCTGTTTCCATGCTCAGAATCCCTTTGCTAGACTGTGCTACTCTTATGTAACCATGATTATCCATGTTTGGTCAATATAAGAAGCTATTTTTTTTTTCTAAAACTTTACTTTTAACCAGAATATGTTAAGTGACAGGACAAAAGCTTTACCCATTTATCCTTGACCATCATCTTCCAATGGTGTGACAAGCTTCCCTGAGCAGTGTTGCCAGCACATGAGATTCACCTGCAAGATTTGCCTTTAGATCTAAACTAGGCAGAAAGGGCTGACTTCACAGAACTTTGGAAACAATCTGCAAACATCAAGTTTTTCTTCCAATTGAATAAAAAAGGGATTTTTCTTGCTTGTGGGCTATGTTCGGGGTAAGCTGTTTAAAGCTCTGGACTTGCCCTGTCTAATACGATAGTCTCTAGCCACATGTGGCTATTTAAAACTTAATTGTAATGAACTAAAAGGAGGTGAAGTTATGAGCTCAGTTTATCAGTTGCACTTGCCACATTTCGGAGACTCAATGGTCCCATGTGGTGAGTGGCTGCCATACTGGACAACACTGCCCCAGACCAAAATACTCAACCATTTCACTTTCCTGAAGCTCAGTCTCCTGTATTATAAGGGGCTAAGACTGCTAATGTCCTTATCACAGCACAGTGGCTGGTGACATGAGAAAATGCATGAATCCTTCGCAGGTGGTAAAGGACTGTACTTACAGACGTGTGTTGTCTTTGCTAATTGCCGGACGCTGGTCTTTGCAATACTAAGACTTTGGCCCCAGGATCTTGGAAGCTGAACTATGCATCTTGAAGTTAACATGCATGCTTTGTTCCTTAAGACTGAAGTCCACATTCTGCACCGGTGACCATTTCTGACAGTTTCTCTTACTGTGGAACGTTCCATTCCATACACATGTAAAAAGCGAAATGTGTGACTTTACCATCTGGACCACGTCTATTAGAATTTAATAGGAAAAAGTACAGTGACCTAGAAGCTGGTAAGAGTCATGATCTTTCGCCCCGTAGAAAATGGATTTTGTGGATCCCAGGGAAGGTGAATGAGTAGCGTCCTCCCGTGTGCTTCACGGGGTCAGTGATAACCAAGGTCAGTAGCTGGTGACTGGCTTAATGACTACCACACCCTGGCTCAGATGAAAGAGAGAATGGGACTGACCGGTGCTGACTGCCTTTCCTATACCTAACTGGTTCCTTGTAGGGAGCTAGAATTTCTGTGTCCACTGATCATTGGCATTTTCATTCAGCACAATGGAGAGAAGTCTGAGGAACGTCCTCGTGGTTTCCTTCGGGTTCCTGTTTCTCTTCACAGCCTATGGAGGTCTGCAGAGCCTGCAGGTACGTGCTTCCGTCATCCTGGCACCTGAACTTCTGAACACTTTTAGCCTCCAAGAATCCCCGTGCTCACAGACGATAATGAATTGGAATGTCAAAAATCTGATTGCTCTAGTGTTTCTTTTTCACTCCGCACCAAATCCTCTAAAACACCCGTGGTTCTCAGATGAGTCCTACAGTGTGCAGTTCCCACTCACGTCAGAATAGGCTTCCACAGCAGCGAGGCATGCCTTGCTCTTGGACAAGGACAGCGGGGGTCTTGGGATCGTGGTTTGTTGGGACAGTCTTTGCCTTTGTGTGGTCAAAAGGAGACACAGGAAAAGTCATTGTGAATTCCGTGGTTCCATGCCCTTGGCTTTGCGTTTAGCGATCAGGCTTACAGGGGCTAAAATGGCAGCCATCGGTGACTCTCCAAGTCAAGTAGAAGGGAACTCGCTCTTGTTTCTTGTCGCGATGCTTCATTATTTGGGTCCTTGTTTGCCCAGAGTTCGTGTGTTGTTGTCACAGTATGTTCTTGTGTGTGACACGCCTGTTGTATTGTTGGGTTGAACTGAGCCCACGTTGAATGCGGCAGGTGCGTGCTTTCTAGAAGGAGGGCGTCACAAGGACAGGGACTGGTCAGTCGCACTTTCTCTTTAGAAGGCTCGCCTGCTGCAGAAGGAGACCCTGCTGTCTTACGGGCACCACAGCCCCTGGGCTCAGATTCCTAGAAAGCAGTTCCGGTGGATGTGCTGGGGCTCACCTGCTGTCTGGAATTGGCCTCTGGACTTGGAAGCTGGAGGAAGAGAGCAGGAGGGTCCTGGGAGTGCCCAGGTGTTCCTCCTCTCAGGCTGTGACAGCAGGACCCAAGGCTGCTGGCAAATGTGGCAGAAAACCCTTTGCATCTGTGGCCCCAGCTCAGGGGTGCCTGTTGGAATGACTCGCGGTGCTCTCTGAGACGAGCTCCATGGCTGCCAGCAGCTGCATGGGGAAGAGACACGCCCCACGCCCTGTCGGCACTATTCCCACTCCTCCGGGGCTGTGGGCAGTGGAGCTGCTGTGGTGTAATGTGAGCCCTTTACCTCAAAACACTGGAGATGCAGCAGAGCCAGACCTCTCTCTCTGCAGGTTCCCCGGCCGGGGAACAGTTCCCCGACTCCTTTTCCCCCTGGGTCCCAGCCCCACCCATATTGTCAGCAGCTGACCCTGAGCATGTGGACGTGCTTTAATCCTCTAACGGGACAGCTATCTCTGCTCCTCAGGACCAGTGTGAGCAACACAGACTGTGCAGCTAGAAGTGACTGGGGAATGGCTGCGTCCCACCACGCGGAGGTGCCGTCCTCTCTCCATCAACCCAAAGGCCCTTCACCGAAGGGCCGAGGACACTCACTTGTGGCACCTCCCCTGCAGCCGCCACCTCCTCTCAGCCTTCCTGGCTGCAGGCCTGCAAGTTCTCATTCAGCTCTCAACTTGAGGTCACCGCCTTCTCCCCACCCTGCCCAGGAGCTGAGGTCTGGGTGGGGTGCCCAGCAATCCCGGTGTTGGGGACACCCTCGTGGCAGCTCATGCCTGCCTGTGTCTTCACCAGTGGTGGTGGCCGGCGGGTTCCAGGACACAAGGGCCCCGTCCCTGGTCCATCCTGAACCTCAGGCAGTGACGGGCACGCAGAGGTGGGTGATGGGTATTTGGCAAAGAAAGAAGTCACTCATGTGCACTCACCTGCTTCACATCCTTGGGGCCTTCCCGCGGGCTGAGGACCCCTTCCCGTCCCCAGGAGGGTGCAAACTCCTCCAGAGGAGCTCTGGCGGCGTCTCCAGCCCCGTCTGCCACCCCGTCTTGTTCTCAGTCAACACGGCGGACGTCCACAGAGGCATGAGCGCCTCTCACAGCCCCCCAGCCCAACACAAGCCTTGCAGGGCACCCACACTTCCCTCCCTGATGTTTTGGATGCCCTGACTGCTGTATTCCAAATTCACATGCACTGTCCTCCCTCCAGCTGCAGAGGCGGCTTGCAGGGCAGCAGGCCTGTGGCTGGTGGTTCCTGGAACTGTGGCGGCGTCCAGCCCACGGGACGCTGAGGACCTGATGGGGCCTCATCCTGCTGTGCCCATCCCGTGCTCTGACAGGGCTGGCTTTGTTCCCACAGAGCAGTCTGTACAGCGAGGAGGGCCTGGGTGTGACGGCGCTCAGCACCCTCTATGGAGGCATGCTCCTGTCCTCCATGTTCCTGCCACCGCTCCTCATCCAGAGGCTGGGCTGCAAGGGGACCATCCTCCTCTCCATGTGTGGCTACGTGGCCTTCTCCGTGGGCAACTTCTTCGCTAGCTGGTATGCAGCTCCCCAACCCCGGCCCCACCCTGGCTTCTCCCCACACTAGAAAGGCTCCCTTGGCACACAGCTTGCATTTGTGCCTAATTACCGTCCACTGCAGGCATTTTAAAGTGAACTCTGCTGCCCCCTCCCGTCCCGTGCCTCACTTTGGTGACAGAGGGTGCTGGGCTTCCTTCCTCTTTTCCCACCAAGGCTCCTCTGTGCCCCCCACCTCTTCTGTCTCCTCCTCCTGATCCCCATGCTGATCGCTCCCTGGGATCCATCCTGATCCTCAGCTTTCCTGGCTGACGAAGGTTCTAGTAACACAGGGGACTCTAACTCCAATGCAGAGTCTCGTGGGCACTTAGGCAGATGCCACCCATGGACCAAAAGCTGCCCCTCGCCCACCATGAGGAGATGGTACGGCCAGGTCAGTGGCAAGGGTGGGAGCCCACCCTGCTCCCTGGTGAGACGGACCACAGAGGCCGAGCTCTGAGGGTTTCAGCTACACACCCAGGCCTGGAACACAGCCACGGAGCATCGCCTCAAGGGGCCCTGGCTGTGACCCAGGACATGCCGATGGTGATGGCTGCACTTCCTTCTCCCTGGGAGCTGCCAGGTCTCACACAGCACCCGCTGTGGAGGCGTTAGCTGGTAGCTTGGTCTTCTTAGCGGGGCTGCCACTCGGCCTTCCTCGTGCTCCTCGGCTTGTGGTTTCTGGGTGCATCCAACACAAGGAACCTCACTGCTGTGAGTTTCACTTTCGCAAATGAGCCCGAGCTGGAAAGGCGCTGGTTTTGCTCATTTATCTGAGTCGAATGGGAAATCCATCCATGCAGCCAGCAACACTCATCACCAGGCTTGCAACGGGCCAGGCCAGGCGCTTCCTTCTCCCACATAGACTGAAGACCTCAGGGACACGGTGCCACCGGCTTGCGTCTCCGGTCACGGCGGTGCCGTGGGTCTGCTTTCACCCCCAGGTACACTTTGATCCCCACCTCCATCCTGCTGGGGCTCGGGGCCGCCCCGCTGTGGTCTGCGCAGTGCACGTACCTGACGATCATGGGAAAGACGCGTGCAGAGAAGGCGGGGAAGCGTGGCCAAGACGGGGTGACCCAGTGTTTCGGCATCTTCTTCCTCATATTCCAGTCATCCGGTGTGTGGGGCAACTTGATCTCCTCGCTGGTGTGTGGCCAGACTCCCAGCCAAGGTAAAAGGCAAAGGGGCAGGCAATTGTCTGCAAGTGGAAAGGGGGTTTCGGCGATGGCCGCTGGGGGAGGGGGTCCTGATTTCACTTGAGCACCTGCCATGATTCTGCAACCTGAGCAGGTGAGTCATGCCCCACAGGTGAGGTTCTCGACCTGCCTGTGCTTCAGAGTCTCCTGTGCCTGCTGTTTTCTGGACAGTCAGGTAGGACTGAAGAACACCTGTCTCTTCCACAGATGCCTCTGCAGGGGCAGGGGCCCTTGCGAAAGGGTGCCGTGGGGAACTAAGGGCCATGCCAGCACAACTGGGTTCGTGGAGTCACAGCTGCACAACTAGCCTTTTGAGACTAAGCATGGGTGGCCTGGTTGCTTTTCCTTCTGACGTGATCCACTGAGCAGACTTTCACCTGTGTCATGGCAGGCCCTCATCCCACACCTACGTGGACGTTGGCTTGGCCGATGCCCTTCTCCTCTGTCTCTACCCACCTTGCCCTGTATACACAGACGTCTCATTCATACCCACGTCCTTAGTGCCCATGTTGAGGCTTTAAGCCCAGGGCAGAGGGCGTACATCTCTTTCATGCTTATAGGAAACCTTTCCCCATGCGCCACAAACAATCCAGCATTCCTGACGAGTATCCCGACTATTTCTATGACTCCATCAGCATGCTCCACCTTGCTGTCCCATAAAAAAACGACTCTGTAGCCAAAATTCCTCCCGCTTCCTCTCATG